CGATTCTCTTCCCATTTCCATTGCTGCTGCTGGTATTTCGAAAACCATCCTAAGCATTACTCATCCTGTTGTGATTTGTTCGGCGTCGTTTTACAGTGTAGGCGTCGGCACAAAGTCACATCCCCCATTGATTTAATTTTTTCCGATGATGTTTTTGATTTACGATGGAAATTTGATAAATTGACCTGTTGAAGTTTGTCAAGAAACACTGCGCATTGAGTTCGCTGTGTTCATGTTATTGTTCTTGTATTCCAACGCTAATACTGTTTTTTTCAGACACTTTTCCTTTTTTATTTTATTGGCAGTCTTGTGATTGTGATGTAAACATTACAATTACTTCCTAGCGAGAACGTAGTTGGGGGAACCACTTAGCCTCACCTTTGTTCCTCTTCCCTTATTCCAGGCTTGAGGTTAGAGTGCAGACGACTTGTGGCGCCGAGGGATTGTCTCGCAGTAAAGCCAACTGCGAATGCTACCAGTTACGCGCATAATCATTGAGTGACAGCAAAGCAAGATGGTAGGTAAAGGAGCAGTCGAGTTAGTTCGCTACACCAAAGTTTCTGTCTTCCCTATTAGGCGGCATCCTTACTTGCCCTTCTTACCAGCATCAATGCCGTCCAGTACTACAAAATTGAATAACTGGTATGAGTATAACATTTTGCGGCTTCACAAAACTTTGCAGTGTTGTTATAACTTCCTTTATTTTTACTATCAGAGAGAATTCGAGCTCGCGAGGATGTGACTTTCGGTTTTGACTTTACTCCGCCCAAACACTCAAGTACTGTGCATACTTCGCGATCAAGCACGTCGACGCGTTGCAACTGCAACGGCGCTCCAAGGCTATGGACGCGAACGCGCCCACAGACGGGAATCGATTAGCACCGTTCGCTGGTGTTTCGAGAAACCATGGGGAATGGGAGGGTAGGCGCTGCCTAATCATGCATTCTGGTATCGATCGGCATTGGCCGCCAAGGCTTCGGGAGCGTATAGAGAAATGGGAGGGTACCGGGTTGCAGCCCACTCCATTATCGTATACTCTTTCGAAACACAAGCCTCCAGCGCCGATCGATTCCCGTGGCTGCGCTCGCAGCCGCAGACGCATTGGCGCGCCATTGCAGCGGTAGACGCGCGTCATTTCGAAGTCTGTGCGCTGCCTAATATGGAGGAGAAGAGGTACCGCTCGATCACGCCTTTGTGTTCCAACTCCCTGTCAGGGCTTAGGTTTACTGGTAAGGGGTCTGTTCTCTGCGAGACTATCCTTCGAAAGCTCTGATCGTATGCCCTCTGAACAACTAACGCCCAAAGAGACAGGGCGGTTGGGCGCTGTAGGGGTCCCATCTCGGACTGTGCTAGTGCCATTAGCACCTGAAAGTGGTGTGTAAATTAGGTCCTCCCAGCCAAATTTCCACAGACCGTGAGACCTGGAACGCAGAGGTTGGACTGATGGGAGCAATAGAGATTTTGCAGTCGAGGAATCGCTTATACGGTATTCCGCGCACTCGGTTTGGATCTCTGAGGCTGGGGTGCTTTCCATTCCCAAGTCTTACTCCCTCCGGTCCTGCCAGCGTAATGTACGTTTCACCACATTGACTTCGTCATTCGCTGGACTGGCGCGATCCTCGCTTGCACCTGAAGCCTAGAAAGAGACGGGGTCCTACAAGGACTTGACTGACAGTAACAGGGTTTCACGGGCTGCGAAATCTCTCTTATTAAAGGCGTCTATTTGTCAACCGCGGAGCCTCTCTTCCCATTCCTTTTCATTCATCCTTCCTTCTTTCTTCCTTCCTTCCTTTGCGTTCTCCCTTCAACCTTCCTTCTTTCTTCCTTCCTTCCTTTGCGTTCTCCCTTCAACAGCTGTGCAAGTGCTGGCCTGTGTGACTTTCATTTGTGTGTTCAGTTTTTGGAATTCTCATCGTTTGAGTGTATTTCGCGCTATACTAGCTTCTGATTATTTTCCTTATTATGCCTTATTTCAGTCCACAGTAATGTCAACGTCAGTGAAGCATCGTGAATTCATCGGTGAACCGATGGCTGAAAAAGAAGTTACTGCTATAGCTGGAATTGGACCGACATATGGTGCTAAACTTGCCGAAGTTGGATTCGATAAGGTAAATTAACCGTTTACTGATGCTTGTTTGCCTCGCTTTCTACAAACTTTTATTTAATTCAGCTGTCATTTCAGGCTTATATTCTGTTTGGACAATTCTTGCTACTTAAGAAGGATGAAGATTTATTTACGGAATGGTTGAAGGTGAGTTCATAAACTTAATTTCATAACTTTTGGCTCTCTCTCTGACTCTTCTAATTTGATACTTCTGACAAGCTACACATAATTTTTGGTGTTGATGTCCTCGTTCCTTTGTTTACATTACGTAGATTAGCAGAGTCCAGTTGAGCCCTAAATGATTAGGGCTTTGAGAAACAGGGTTCTAGCGCTCCCGCGCTTTCCACTGACGCAGGGCTGTTCCCCTATATTGAGTTATGGTATTCTCGTTTAGGCCTGTTCATGCTTTGCGCTGGACAGATTTGGCTTTTTTTGGGAGACGGCAATTCGAAAGACTGCACGATGAAAGTATAGATATCCGACCCGACGACTGCGTAGATTGAGCGATCCGTCGATTTGAGGGACACAGCGTTTCCTGCGATTGCGCTAAAGATGTGGATGGGTATCGATCGGTGCCGGCTGCTAGCGATTGCGGAGATTTGGCGATCCGGCTGTTTGCGAGGTTGAGCAACCCGGCTTCTGGAGGATCACCGCTTTCGGGTAGGGCACGTATAGGGAAGAAGCGCGGTACGTTGGTGTGCGGAGCCAGTTGACGCTTCGAGAGCCATCTGACGTGGCTAAAGGGGCGATGCAGATGATGATAAGGTGTTCTCGTCAGGTCGTAGTTGATTCAAAGGTGTAATGCTGCGGCCTGTCAAGCCAACCAGTAAGGAAATACTTTGCTAATAAGCACTCGGTGACGGTCGTAGGATGTCCTGATCTGCCACGAACCTTGCATCTCCTTTGTCGCCAATTTCCTGTAATCACGCGTCATCCCGAATTGATGGTTTACTTATTCGTGAAGCTCGAATGTTGTCTGAGGGGGCTTTTCCTGAGACGCACCCATTGCTCTATCGGCTCTATATTTCTAGTCTTAGAGAATCTTGAAGATAAGACTATATTGTTTTCATATTCAAGAGAAAGGTCCAAATAAATATTCCGTCTAAAATTTTTATCCTCCATCTGACTAATATCTTACTTATCTGATTTCTAATTTGTGCCTTTTGAAATTTTAGGCTTGGTTGGATTTTATTCTTTGCACTGGCAATACTAGTGAAACGTTTTTTTTTAGGATACCGCTGGAGTGTCCGCAAATCATGCGAAAAGTGCGTACAATTGTCTCAATGCGTGGGCGGAGCAATATATCTGATATTGTTGTGCCATGTGAATACCTTATTTGATAATTGTATGAAGTTCTGACTTTTTTCCACGACTTTGACTTGATTTGTTCGTGATAGGGTTTGCGAAGTTCGGTGTGTTCATCTGGGACTGACTGCATACTCACATTGTATCGATTTGTCATTTTGATAGGGATGCTTGAATGAACGACTAATTTTTTGATTTTCCTGTGTTTTGAACACTTATGATTGTACCATTTTAATCCTGCTTACCACCTCGTTACACATGGTTGGCCCAAATCATAGCTGTTTTCCTGCAAAAAGTCACCTGACTGAGTGACCAAGTGACCAGCGAATGTATTCGCACGCTGTCGTAGTCAAGCGGCAGAAACAATACTAGTTGTGCTACAGTGTGGAGGCGCAGACAAGTTGCGGGTGGAGTGGCGAGTACGGAATGGGGTGAGGTGAGGAAGGTGGGAGTTAGTATCGAGTGACCCCCTTCTCCCATCCTCACTCCCTTGCGCGTACTCAGTCGGATCTGAGCCCATGCAGGGGAAGGAGGCATATGGATTGAATCGGGCAAACTGGGTACAGTAAGGGGATGCGTAGCGTACGCTTGAATAGGAGCAGGCGGCAAGACAGAAGGAAAGAACCCCTAGCAAAACTGCAAGCTAATCCATGTTACAGCAACGAACTAGGAAGCTGTTTGGATTGTGAATCGCTCCCCTATCTAAGCCAACCACTGTGATAGACTCTGTGCTATTGCAGGAGCTGCTCGCTTGGGAGCTGGACGTGAGCACGAGCAAGGCGGTGGTAAGAACAGTGGCGGCGTAGTGTCCCTATGTTGCACCA